CAACCATTTATTTTTAGTCTCTTTTTGTCTTCGTGTCTAAGGTGTGTCTCTTGTAGACAGCATATTGATGGGTTATGTTTTCTTATCCAGTCTGCAACTCTCCTGTCTCTTCCGTGGTGCTTTAATCGTTGACATTCAGTGAAATTATTGATAAGTGTGGATTGGTTGCTGTCATTTTGTTATGTTGCTGATTTCTTTGTTCCATATAATTTTCTGTGCTGAGCTCATTTTGTTTATGAATCATGTTATCATTTCCTTTGTTGCTGTTGCTTTGTTATTGTTGTTATGTGCCATTGAGTTGGACCCGACTCATAGCGACCCCTCCTTTGGGTTTCTGAGGTAGTAGATTGCCCCATCTTCCTTTCGAGGAGTGGCTGGTGGGTTTGAACCACCAGCTTTCTGGTTAGCAGTCAAGTGCCTTAGGCACTATTCTACCAGAGCTCCCTTGCTGTTGCTTTAATATTTACTAAATATTTGTACTTATCCTCTTTCTTATTTTGATTAGAAAGTTTATCATTTTTCTTTGAGGTTACCCTGTGATTTATAATTTTCTTCCCAAGTTTAGAACAGTCTGTTCTGTCTTACAAATGTCTTGATATCCTCACCATTTAGAAGTTCTTCAACTACACTGTTTTTTGCTCTTTTTGGTTTGTAGTTGTCCTTATTTGCCAAATGATGTCTCTGGTTCCCTGTTTACAATCTTGTAAGCTTATGTTACTTTGGATACTTCCATAACTGGTTTGGTTTCTGGGTTATGTCATCATGTGTGTTAATGGTCAGTTGTCATTTGTATTATTGGTTCTCTGTCTAAAGGATTCCCTTTAGCATCTCTTGTAAGGTTGGTCTGGTTTTAACAAATTCCCTTAATTTCTGCTTATCTGAAAATGTCCTAATTTCACCACCATATTAGAGAGACAGTTTTGCTGGGTGTATAATTCTTGATTAGAAATTATTTTCTTTCAGGGTTTTATATATACCATCCCATTGCCTTCTCACCTGCATGGTTTCTTCTGAGAAATCCAAGCTCAGTTGTATTGGTTGCCCTTTGTAGGTAATTTTTTGTTTTTTCTGTGTTGCTCTCAGAATTCTTTCTTTGTCTTTGGTTTTGGTGACTTTGATGATGATATGTTTTGGTGATTTTCTGTTGGGGTCTATCCTGTGTGGGGTTCATTGGACTCCTTGAATGGATATATTCTTCTCTTCTGTCATATCAGAGAAATTCTCTTCCAACAAAAATATTCAGCAATTTTCTCAGTAGTTTTATTTATCTTTTCCTGTTCTGGAATTCCAGTTAGTCATTTTCTTCTTGTATTGTTATCTGAAGTTTTTCTGGTTTTTTTTCTGTGTTTTCCTTAATTTTGTCAGTTTTTCCTTGATCTGTCTCTCAATCTGTTGAAGGTACCAAAATATAATTCTTTTGAATCCTTGTCAGGGATTTTCCAGTGCTGCTGCTTCCTCTGGGATGTGTTCTAGATCTGTAACTTGGTCCCTTGTTTCTACTGCTTTATCTTGCTTCTTTATGTGTAGTGTGATTGTCTTTTATCTCCAAGACATTGTATTTATACTTAATTAGTGATTTTATGTTGGAGTGATTTGCCTAAGATTTTTTTATTTTTTTGATGTATCTGAGTATGCAGGGTACTGAGTTCCTCTGTTCACTAGTTGGCAGCACTTATGCACTCACCACCTATTTCTTGGTGCATGTGATAGAGAATGAAAGTGAGTGTACAGATCTCTGTTAGCTGTTTGTGAAGAGCAGTTAATGGCGAATCAGGCTCATATTGGCTGTCATGTATCATTGGCGTTTCATGCAGAAGCAGGTGGTGGCCCTCATTTAGTAGGTGGGCCTTCAGGAGGTCTGGGTTTGCTTGGGTCATGTGGGTATGGTTGCTGTCTCCCCCTTAGACAATCAATACATTGTCTAAGCAATCAAGAAAAATATGAACCCACACAAAAAAGTAAAAACAAGAGGACAAAAAACAGACACTGCATAAGCACACAGGAGCAATCGCCAAAAAGAGAAAGAAAGAAAAAAAGGAAGAAAGACCATAAATGAGATGAATATTTAAAATACTTTAAACAGAGAAAAGAAATATAAATATAAAAAGAGAAAAAAAAATCCACAATATCTGGAGAGGGGAGATTAAGAAAAAACAGCTAGAGTAAGAGAATAATGAAGGAAAAAAATGGGAAATATGCCAAAAGAAAAACAGGGATGGGAAGAACCACAAGAAAGAAAAAAAAATAGGAACCAGGAAAAGGGAAGAGAAAATAAGCCAAAAACTAGAACCTGTGAAGAGAAAAGGAGGGAGTAAAAATAAAAAGGAAGAAATAATAATTTAAAAACAGCAAAAATAAATAAATAACAAATCTGGAGTGTGGGGGGCAGGGCAGGGCACCTAGACTCTGTCAGAGCACACATACTGGAATGGAATTCCTACTGGCCCAGAGGGTGGGTAGAGATGAGGGATGGTCGTACCTCTGTTCACCAAGAGGGTGTGGCATAAAAGAGTAGCAAGGGGAATAGCACACCTTTTCAATCATCAGTCTCCAGTATGTCTGTGTTGTCCTTGGCAAGTGGAACCTATTCTTATGTCCCTGGAATCTCAGTGAGAACACTGCCAATTTAAATATCCAAAATGGCCATACCACTTGTAAACATTCAAAATGCCTGCCACCTCCAGACAGCCAAATGTCCACAGGTCATTTTGTCTCCTTTGGAGTTTTCCTTTTTATCAGCCACCACTGCAGTTGTCCATGTAGCCCTTGGCAAGCAGGGCCAATTTGTAGGTTAATTCTCAGGGCCTAACACCACTTGGAAGTATTCAAACTGTCTCTACTATCAGGATAGCTGACAGTCCGCATCTCTATTTTTCTCCTTATTCACTTTTCATTCAGGTTCTTCTACTAAAAAACACTCACTGCCATTGAGTTGGTTCTGACTCATAGCGACCCCTCATTGGGTTTCCTAGGCAGTATCTCTATGGAAGTTGATTGCCCAGTCTTCCTTCTGAGGAGTGGCTGGTGGACTTGAACCTCCAGCCTCCTGATTAGCATTCAGATGCCTTCAGCACTATGCCACCAGCTCAGGGCTACAGAATTACCTTCTGTATTTGTATTGATTGGTTTCTCTTTTCTTTGTTGAAGAGGGTCAGTATAGCTTGTCTGCCTATTCCACCATCCTACTGGCACTTTTCCTTGAGTGTGACTGATTTTTGTATATTGATCTTGTACCCTTCCACTTTGCTGTAACTATCAATTAATTCCAGCAATTAAAGAATCTTTGGGATTTTCTGTGTATAAGATCATATCATCTGCAAATAGAGATAGTTTTACTTCTTTGCCAATTTGAATGCCCTTTTATTTTCCTTTCTTCCCTCATTGCTCTGGCAGGAACTTCTAATACAGTATTAGCATCTGTCTGCTACCTGTTCCTAAGAGAAATACTTTCAGCTTCTTGCCATTGAAAATAATGTTAGCCCTTGGTTTTGTATATGTGCCCTTAATCATGCTGAGGAATTTCCCTTCTATTCCCATTTTACTCAATGTTTTTGTAAGAAATGGGTTTTGTCAAATGCCTTTTCTGTGTCAGTTGATAGGATTGTATGTAAACCTTGTTATTTACTACATTAATAAAGGACTTTGTTACTGGACTGAAAACTTTTTTAATAGTTGGGAACTCTATTTTAGTATACAGGTATGTGTTGCATAATATCTGTGATACATTCTGTGAAATATGGCATTATGTAGTTTGGATGTTGTGGGAACACCATAATATGAATGTAAACATTCAAAATGGATGCAGCACATGCATATGTGTTTGCATATGTTCAATACACATATATCAAAGTAACCCCCTCACAGGCTGCTCTGGTTCTCTGTTAGTGCCTGCATCCTTGAGGTTTGCAAACTCTCACCTGAAGTTGACTGCCTCTGAGCAGCTTTCTGGAGAGCCTGGTTGGAATTGGAATGCTTTAGGAACTGAGCAGAGTGGCCACAGCCCAGCATCTCCTGGCAGGCGCTGACCTGTAGGGTATGTGCCAAGGACAGCCAAGTAAGTGGCCACAGCTCAGGAAATGAAAGCCATGCCCGATGCTCAAAGGCTGCAGACCAGCCACAGGCAGCACCACAAACCCATTCTGGCCAGACCTATTGGTGTCATTCCAAGTAAGCTCCTCCTCCCAATTCCAGGAACATACATGCATTCAGACATTGCCTGAATGTACATTATGAAGCATTATTTTCTTTGTATTTTATGCATTTAAAGAAAGGGTTTATGATCTGAGAAAGGGTTCTTAGCCTTTATGAAGTTTCACTATGGCATAAAAATGATTAGGAACACCTAGTATGAGGTGTACTATGCTGGAGGTAGGCCCAGAGTATTATTGGAAAACAGAGCTGAAAAGACAGAGTTGAAGAGAGGCTTGGTGTGTATGTGTGTGTGCCACAGAAGGGATGCTTGCATAATCTTTGAGATGAGTTAGTAGTTTGCCTGGCTGATGGTGGAGGTAATGGAAGGGGAGAAGTGCACTGTTAGAATTATGTAGCTGAGTTTAGGATGTATGCAGGGGCAGATTACCCAATAATCAAGGTAAGCACAGGCTTACTAGTGAATAGTTTCAAAGATAGGGTGAAAAAACAATGTGCAACTTAACTACAGATTAGTAAGTAAGCACAGATAAGCCTGTGCTTACCTTCCTTACTCAGTACACCATCCCTGTCAGGGATTGTAAATTTGAAAAGAGGCTTTAATTCTGTAGGAAGATGCTTAAGATTGGAAGAGAGATACATGCCAGCCATACTTAGAAGCAAAATCTTTGATTTAAAAAAAAAAAAAAAGTTGTTTGCTACCGATTAGTAAATAAGCATAATTAAGCTCATACTTACCTTGTTTATTGGGTAGTCCAACACTAAATGTGTGGGCACAGAGAGCTATGAACTAGTCTACGATGTTATATGTGATAGAATTGTCATAAGAATTGTATTTTTAACTTTATTAGGTTTCATCGTTTCTTGGATGTTAACAGCCACAAGGTGGAAAAGACAATAGAAGGGTAAGTCATTTTTATATATTCATATATACTTCACATATTCAGAAATATATGTGTTTTCACTGTAGATCTTTTTGTTAATATGGCTATCAGTTGATTTTTTTTATATATGTATGTTTTAGAATTTATGAAAAATTTATCATTCATTCTGACCTTAACAAAGCTTCTAGTTGGAAGAGATTAATTGAAGAATTTCTAAATGCATCACTTCCAAGCATAAAGGAGATAAAGGTATGCTTTCTATTTTGAGATCTCTTGTGTATTGAACTGTTTGTACCCTGAATATCTTCAGCTTGCTTCTATTAACATTTAATCATTCATTCTATTTTATTACCACCCCCTGGCTAGAGCAGAATCTCCAGGAAATTGACTTAAATATTGCCATCAAACCCAGTGTGCCTCTTGCCCAATGAATAAAAGGCATGGGTTCTTCTTTGAGCATCTTCTCAGCCCCAACATACTTTAATTGAGATCAGAAATTGAGGTCAGAGCCTGGTGCAAATAGTAACATGGTCTAGATACCTTAAAACTTTTAAATTGCTTCTTAACACTTGTTGATAGTAACTGTGTATCATGCATATCAGATTCCAGGCACTGTTCTAAGCTTTTTCATATCGAGTCAGGAGTACCTTAGGTTTGATGAGTCACTGTAAGTATCACAGAACTCAGAGAAGCTGTTATTCTCATAGTTTACAGTTCATGGGCAAATAGTTCAGATTAAAGTCAGCAAAAGGAAAAGGTGCTTAGGGCAACCAAACCAAACCAAACTTTTGAGTCAATTCCAACTCAAAGCAAGCCTGTACGACAGATTAAAACTGCCCCATAGGGTTTCGAAGGCTGTAAATCTTTAAGAAAGCCTTCTGCATCGTCTTGCTCCAGTGGAATGGTTGGTGGGTTCAAACTGCCAGTTTTTTGGTTAGCAGCCAAATGCTTTAACCACTGTACCATCAGAGTTCCTTGCAGAGGGCAGAGTGCTGGAGAAATCAAGTACAAGCTTTTAGGTTTCATTTCCCGGTGGAATTACAGTGGGATGCACTTAATTTTCCCAGCAACATGGGGGAACTGTTGCCTACCAAGGAAACTTACCTGGGTATTGGTATCCAGAGCTTTTGTTGGCGTTCGGTCATGTACACATGCAGCACTGGTTGTAGCTGATTTTAGCTACTCAATCTCCAGTTCACAAGAGGTCAAACTGATAGAGCTTGGCCCAAGGCCTCAGACATAGAGAAACAAGTGACATAGAGAAACATAAATCTCGTTAATATAAACTATCTGGGGAAACTAGTACAGCATGGCCCAAGGCCTCAGGCATATAAAATCAATAAGATCAACAGCCCAAAGCTGATTCCTGTGAGGCTGAGTTAGACATGTGTCCACCCTCCAACTTTTTTTTAACAATTCTGACACTAACTGTCTCCCCCAAGCACTCTTCTTTGTTGCAGTGGCCACACAGAACTCAAAGATAGTACTTATGATCATGGGGTTTATTAGGGAAGTAATTACAGTTGAGGTTCGAGAACACTCAGTATACAGTTTTTCAATAAAGGCAGCCTCTTTTCAGCCATACCCACATGCAGGCCTCTCTCTGGCCTTTGGCTGCATGGCCTGATGTCTGCCCTGCTCCAGCAAGTGTTACAGCTCTTCTAGCTCTGCTAGTGAGTGCTCAGAGGGGCCCCACTCTCCTAGTAAACCTTGGCCTGGAGCAGCTCAGCTCTAGCTCCATGGAGTCAGGAAACCTCACTCCACCAAGTGCCTGGATGTACCTTACTCGACCAGCAAGTTTCCTGCCCAAAGGCACTCAACTTTCTTGCTCTGAAGGTCCAGAAGCCCACCATGCCATTGCCTGCCAGTCCCCTGGTTCTACTGCTACTGCTTCTTGCCATTTGTCAGGGCAGTGTTACAGCTCTCTGTCTCCTAGGTCCTGGAGGTTCTCAGCATAGGGTACAAAGGATATATTCTACTCCCGTCTCTTCTTGGTGATAGTCAGGTTTTCCCTCTCCACCTCTGGGATGGTTCGTTTTAAGCCAAGCACGGTGGCAAAACTAACTAATCCTCTTGTTAGGGTTCTATGCACCTTATTTGCATGGTCTACCCCCACAAGGATGCCTTGTACCTTATTTACATTTTTAGCAAACTAGTCAATCACCTTGGTGGGCCAGAAGCACCATGTTTGCCTAGTCTCATCCAGTCATTTGGTGGGAGTTGTTGTAAAGACTGGCTAGTAGGGCCACATTAAGTAATTCACTGCATCATAGGCAAGAAATTCCAAAGGTTCAGAAGTTATCTCCCAAAGGCAGGTCAAGCACCTGTTTGGAAGACGTGTAGAATGTTCATGGTTTGGGCAACCCATACCTATTGAGTTAACTAACCACTTACTGTACACGTACATTAACTTTAGTTCTGTGAGAAATACTCTATTACTGATAGGCTTTCATAGTATGATGGGAAATTGGTATCACAAAGAGGAAAGATTCAGATAATTTTAAATTTTGCATTAATTGAAGAAAAGTATAAAGATATTTCTAGAAGAGTGAGAGAACTACACGTTCTGTACATACCCTTTGTTGTCAGTTGCCATTCAGATGGCTTTGACTCACTCATAACAGCCTTATGTATAACAGAATGAAATGTTGCCTCTTTCTGCACTATCTTCTTGATGGTGGATATGTATAAATCCATTTATGTGACTATTATGTTAATCTATCTCATTGAGATTTTCCCATGTTTTTGCTGACACTCTACTATACTTGATGTTCTTTTCTAGAAATTGGTTTTTCATAACATGTCCAAATTAAGTGAGTTGAAATATCATTATCCTTGCTTCTAAGCATTCTGGTTATATTTCTTCTAAGACTGATCAGTTCATTCTTCTGGTACTCTACAATATACTCAGTGTTCTTCATCAACAGCACAATTCAATTGCTTCAGTTATTCTTCTATTTTTTTCATTGCCCAGCTTACACATGGGTATGAGGTGACTAAAGAGAGCATGGATAGGGTCAAACCCACCTTAGTCATAAAATTAGCATCTTTGCTTTCTAAAATCAAAAGGTCTTTTGAAGCAGATTTGCCCAATGCAGATTGTCATTTGATTTCTTTTTTCTTTTTTTTTTTTTTTTTTAGTTGTGATTTGGCTGAAGATTTACAGAGCAAATTCACTATCCATACAGCAGTTCACATACCCTTTGTCTCATGACATCGACTACAGTGTACCACAGTACAACAGCTCCCCTTCCCCTTCCTCCCCATAGTTACCTCTTCCCAGTGTCCATCCCTCCATGGACTCCTGCCCCCTGAGCTGTCTCCCTGTGCATAAGCAGCCCTTCTTTCTCCCATGATTGTTCTCTCCAAGGAGTGTATCTACCTGAGGTAAATGTTCAACTCATAAGCCTGTCTTTTGTTTGGCTGGAAAGCACGGGTATGGGTTCAATTCCAGATCTGAAGGGCAGCTAGGGACCATAGTCTCAGCGGTTCCACCAGGCTCTATCAGACCAGCAAACCTGGTCCCCACCCTGTTTTTTTTAATTCTCCAAATGAGTTTCAGTTTTGTTCCACATTGTTTTCCCTCTCTATTAAGGATCTCCTAGATAGATCCTCTTCCAAGTGGATGACAGAGATAGCCAGGCACTGTCTAGTTTTTCTGGTCTCATAGTAGTATAGGCTGCAGATCGGATGGTGTACCAGTCGCTAGGACTAATTGTTCCCATGAATTTTGGTTTTCTTCGTTCTTCTTTGCTCTGGACGAGGAGAGATGCATTGTTGCATCTAGATGGCAGCTTGCTAGCTTTTAAGATCCCAGGCACTACTCACCAAAGTAGGAGGTGGAACAATGTTTTGTATAGTATATTATGCCAATTGAGCTTAATGTCCCCTGTGACTGTAGTCCCAAACCCACAGGTTCAACTGCTTGGTCCCTCTGGGTAGCTGGCTGTGACCAAACAGTGACCACAACCTTGACCCTTGACAGCTCTACTATACACCTGGCAATTCTGATCATTGACATAAATTTATAGGACCATTATCTGCCAACCCTATACATGTTCTTGGATACACTCCCCATTTCATAGACATACCTAATCATTCAGCCTGTCCATCCATTTATCCACCCATATAACCATGTTTGCCTTCACTGACAACACAGTACTGTATGTGCAAAAGGGTTCATCTTTGTTGTCTATACCTCCCATGTACCTCTCCATGTCTTTCTCTTCCTCAGTGCTGCCATATTAGTCACTCACATTTGGTACATTGCCCTTCCTTCACCCAAATCAATACTTATCTCTATCTATCTAATAGCATTCCCTCACCTCCCCTCTCACCCCTGCTAACCAACAAAGAAAATTTCCTTCTATAGATAAACCTTTCCTTAACTTTTACAATAA